CCCTGGCAGCGGCGCCTCCGTCACCGCCGCCGCCCGCGCTCGCCGTCGGCCCGCCGGGCCCTCCACCGGAAGTGAAACCGAAACGGAGCCGAGCGCCTGACTGAGGCCGAACCCTCGGCCCTCTGAGCGTGTAAACACTGAAACTGCGTCACGTGATCGACGCTGTTCCCTCCCCCCGCGGGCTCAGCCCCTCGGCCCCGCCCTCTCGCTTCCAGTGGCCAGAGAGCGCGCGCATGCGCGTTGCTGGGAACGGGCCGGAGTGCCGGGTCGAACGTCAGATGCGCGGGCCGGGCGTGCGCGGGCCCGGCGGAGGGCGGGAAGGCTGAAGGGCGGTGACAGGTCGCACCGCCTCGCGAGGGTCAGAACTCCCATTTCTGCAGAGGTGCATGCCGTGTCGTGTGAAATCAACTGCATCCGGTTATCCATTGGCCTCGCTAGGATTCCGGGGGCATGTCTGGTTTGGTTTGATTCAAAGTGCGCAGAGCCTGATTGAGCGGGAGGTGGAGTGGAAGGCGAGAATGAGGGTGAAGGAGTAGATTGAAGAAGACTTTGAACTAGGAACAGTGGCAACCAGGATGACCTTGGCTTTCGAGACCCATAGAGGCAGGGGGTGAAGAGTCACGCCCTCTCTCACCAGATTTTGGGCTTTCCTGTGGAGACATCCTGGGCCTTTTCAGGGACAATGTATTGAGTCAGGACCTCAAAATGTTAGCCTTTCCTCACACCCAGCTTTGACCCACGTACTTGCCTTTCCTCAGTTTATTTTCATACTTTCACTTGACACACTAAAAAATTGTGTTAAGCACTTCTTAATGTCTTTAAAGTTCGTTTCTGCCCCTGCTGTATGCGCACCCTATGTCGGGGTGAGCATGTGTGTGGCAGTCATGGGTCCTGTCTACGGGGACCGATGCACCTCCTTGCAACCCTTTACCTTCTACTCTAAAACAAAGCCCAACTTTTTCTTATTCCTGTTTCTGCACCGTGCTTATAGCTGCGTTGATCGATGTTTCCTTAGGGATGCTGGTATCCAACTGAGAAGTTTATGGAGCACCTATCATGTGCCAGGCACTGTGCTAAGTGCTAGCGAGAAATTGGTGAGTAAAACAGAAAAAAGAAAAGAGTGCCAGCATTGAACTTGGAACCTAGCGAAGTAGATGGACATAAATTATGCTGGCAAGTAAATGAGGAGTTGCAGCTGTGATAAGGGCTACGAAGAATAGGTGCATCCATGATGACATAACATGACCCAGTCTGGGGTGGAGAATCAGAAATGATTCCAGCTGGAATATGGCAGGTGGGAGTTAACTGTAGCACTGAGTTGGCAGAGGCAGGATGACCTGCCCCAGGCAGGTGCCCCAGAATGAGAAGATGTTGGTGCTGGTGGAATGCCAGCTTTAAAGCAGTGGATTTAGGGCCACATTCCTCAAGGCCATAGTAAACAGGAAAGACCTATTTGGACTACCGTCTTTGGAGTAGTCACTTGAGACCAAGACTTCAATAGGGCTGAAAGAGAATCTCATCATAGGTTGAATGGGAGCAGAGCATTAGCTGTAATTCCAATGTATTATAGTAAAAGGCGGCACATTGATTAGAATAATTATACCTCTCCACGTGTAAGGTGTTGTTCAATTTACCCAGGGCTTAAAAATAGGTCAACTCTTCACAACTATCTTTATTGCAAGCCACACTCATCCTGTGCTGTTCCTGAACCTGTGATGCACTTTCATCCTTTCATGTCTCTACACATCCTTCCTGAGCCCCATAGAGGCCCTGCCCCTTAAGGTTTTCAGCTGGATTCCTATTAGCTAGTTATTTTATTTCAGATACAGAAAGTTAACTTTGCTCCTCCATTTTCAGCACATTGTCATATCAGTCCCTACAAGGTCCTTGTTTTATATTATTTTATATTGTTTATATGATTTTTTTCCTCATCTTTCTCAATTCCCACTCTCATTCTTCCAGACACAAACTGCAATATAGATCCTTGATAATTTAAGACAGATAATGTTTTGTTTATGCCTCTTGCATTTACAGAGGTGGTATTGGACTGTAAATCTCTATTTCCCACTGTTTTACTCAACACTATGTTTTTGAGCTATACCCACATTGCTGTGTGTACACCTAGTTTGCTACTGAGTATTCTATAGATTTTATTCATACATATCCCTACTGATCCGGCATCTAGGTTGCTGCCAACTCCCTGAAGTCATACTGTGGTGAAAACCCTTGGGAATGTCTTTACAAACCTTTACCAGAACTTATCTTGTGCTCTTGTAGAACTTTGTGCATACCTCCTGCCTCCTCATTACACTGCTTGGCATGTAGCAGGGACTCAACAAATGTTGAATACCTCTACTATTGATGGTTAGTATACCAGAATAATTTATTTATATTTTTGTTTTCCTTATTGGATTATTAGTACCTCCCAGACAGGGCAAATATCTTTTCTATCCTTGTGTCGCTGGCACATTAAAAGTGGTTGATTTCAAGGTATGTTCAATGAAGGAATAAATAAATAGTTTCCTCACTGCCAGTACATACTGCAACTTAGTCTTGCCCAGTTGACTCTGAGTCTCAGCCTCACTCTGACCTCTAGCTTTTGATATTTCTCCTTTCAAGATAGCTTACCTGAACTCAGACGCTGGGCTCAGGCCTGATCATGAGCCTGCTCTTCCAAAATCCTCTCTCCCCCGCCTTCTCTCTTTCTCCCTCTCTCCTTTTACAGACAACTCTTGCCTTCTAGTTCATTGCTCAAGCCTAAAACTGAGACATTTTCACCTGCTTCCACACATCAAATCCATCAGCAAATCATTGCAGAATCCAGAATCTGCTTCTCATCGTTTGCTCAGCTACAACCCATAGTCCAAGCTTCCATTCTCTCTTACCTGCACTGTGGCAACAATTTCTTCACTGGTCTCCTTGCAGTCACTATTGTCCCCTCTCTGACAGTTCTCAGCACAGAAAACAGAATGCCCTTGTTCAGGTATCAATCAAGTCACTCTGCCACTCAGAATCCCCCAGTGACTCCCTATATCTCTCAGAGTAAAAGCCACATTCGTTATTTATTCTGGCTTCCATGCCCTATATACTCTGACTTCTATTATCTCCTCTATCTCACCTTTTACTTTCCCCCTTCACGTCATTCCAGTGAATGAAATCTAGTTCCCCTAGACTTTCTCCTATGTTTTCTTCCAGAAATTTTACAATTTTGTGCTTTGCATTTAGGTCTATAATCCATTTTGAGTAAATTTTTTTGCAAAAGATATAAGGTCTGTGTCTAGATTAATTTTTCAGTTATTCCAGGACCATTTGTTGAAAAGACCATTGTTTCTCATTTCAGCCATAGTATTTTCTTTGTTGTTTCTTGAAAATACCAGGCAGGTTCTGTCTGTCTCCCCTCACTAGAGTGTAAGCTCAGTGAGAACAAAGATTTCCATTTGTTTAATTTACTGCTTGTCCCCAGTGCCTACCACAGTGTCTGGAACATAGTGAATGTTTACTGAATATTACATGAATGAACGGATATGTGTTGAGGACCCGGCCAAGGTTGAGTCAGCTGTCATGCCTATATTTATCTGATATTGCAATGATGCTTCAGTGTTTCTAGCCCTGCCTTGGCCCCTGGTTTCCATTAAATTGCTGCCTGTTGTCTTTGCATTGATTTATTCTCTGCTATTTCCTGCTCCTTCGCAACTTGAGCCCTCTAGAGTCTTTTTCATGCCTCAATCCCAGCTGAAAGGCCTTCTGCCCTTTCCAACTCTAAAAATCTTATGTACTCTTCAGGATCCAGCTAAAGTCACACTTCTTTCTTGACACTTTATCTGACAATTTCACTTGACTGTGACCTCTCATTTGAATGAGATATTAGAAAAAAATTAGTTGGCTTTATTTTTTAGAACACTTTTAGATTTATGGAAAAATTAAGCAGATAGGGAGCCACTGGAGGATTCTGAGTGGCAGAGTGACTTGATTGACACCTGAACAGGGTCATTCTGTCTTAAATGTTGAGAAATGTCAGAGAGGGGACAACAGTGACTGCAGGGAGACCAGCGAAGAGGTTGTTGCCATAATGCATGTACTACCTAATCTCCCTTCCTCCTGTACAGTTTCTCCTATTACTAACATCTTGCCTTTGTATGGTACATTTTGATGCATTATTACTCACTCTTTGTGTTGCACAGCTCTGTGGATTTTGAAAAATGCATAACATATCCACCATTACAGTGTCAGCAGAACAGTTACACTGCACTAAAAGATTCCTTGTATTCCACCTATTCATCTAGTCTACCCGCAACCAAGCACTGGCAATCACTGATCTTTTTACTTTCTGTAGAATTTTGCCTTTTCCAGAATGTCATAGAGTTGGAATCATATAGTAGGTGGTCTTTTCATACTGCTTTTATTTTTTTACTTAGCAATATACATTTAACATTCCTCTGTCTTTTCATGGCTTGATAGTTTTTTTTTATTGGACACAATATTCTGCTGTATGGATGTACCATGATTTGTTTATCCATTTATTTATTGAAAAACATCTTGGTTGCTTCCAGTCTTTAATAATTATGAATAAGGCTACTGTAAACATTCTTGTACAGGTTTTTGTATAGACATAAGTTTTTACCTCATTTAGGTAAACACCAAGGAGTGTGATTGCTGGATCATATGGTAAGACTATATTTTGCTTTATCAAAAATTACCGGATGGTCTCCCAAAGTGGCTGTAACAGTTTACATTTTTCAGCAGCAATGAATGAGACTTTCCTGTTACTACACATCCTTGCCAGGATTTGGTGTTGCCAGTGTTTTGAATTTTGTCCATTCTAATAGGTGTGTCGTAGAATCTCAATGTTTTAGTTTGCAATTTCCTAATGACATACGGCATTGGCATTGTGCATCTTCTCCTTATTTGTCATCTATATATCTTCTTTGATACAGTGTCAGCTCAAATCTAGAAGTGTTCTTTATATATTTTAAATATCAGCCCTTTATCAGATGTGTATTTTGCAAATATTTTCTCCCAGACTGTGGCTTGTCTTTTCATTCACTTAACAATTTCTTTTATAGATCAGATGTTTCTAATTTAAAAATTTCAACTGTTCAGTTTTTTTCATGGATCATGCATTTAGCATTGTACTCAAAAAATCCTCACCAAACACAAGTTCACCTAGATTTTCTCCTATGTTATCTTCCAGAAGTTTTACAGTTTTGTGTTTGCATTTAGGTCTGTGATTCACTTTGAGTAAATTTTTCTGAAAGATATAAGGTCTGTGTCTAGATTATTTTTTGCATATGAATTTCCAGTTATTCCAGTACCATTTGTTGAAAAGATCATTGTTCCTCCATTGGATTCTTTGCTCCTTTGTCAATGATCAGTTGACTATATTTGTATGGGTCTAATTCTGGCCTCTTTATTTTTTTCCATTGATCTACAGTTGTTCTCTGTATCCATGTGTTCTTCATCAACAGATTCAACCAACCACAGATCAAAAACATTATTTAAAAATCCCCTAAAAATGGCCAGGCACAGTGGCTCACGCCTGTAGTCCCAGCACTTTGGGAGGCCAAGGTTGGGGGAATCATGAGGTCAGGAGTTCAAGACCAGCCTGGTCAACGTAGTGAAGCCCCGTCTCTACTAGAAATACAAAAAATTAGTAGGGCATGGTGGCAGGCACCTGTAGTCTCAGCTGCTTGGGAGGCTGAGGTAGGAGAATCACCTGAACCCGGGAGGCAGAGGTTGTACTGAGCCAAGATCGCGCCACTGCACTCCAGCCCTGACAACAGTGTGAGATTCCATCTCAAAAGAAATCCCCTAAAAATAACAATATAACAATAAAATAATACAAATAAAAACCAATAAAGTATAACAACTATTACATAGCATTTACATTGTATTAGGTATTATATATAATCTAGACATAATTTAAAGTATACAGGAGGATGTGCATAGGTTATATGCAAATACTATGCTGTATTATATAAGGAATTTGAGAATCCACAGATTACAATATCCTCAGACATTCTGAAACCAGTTCCCCGCAGATACTGAGGAATGACAGTATTTCTCTTTTCCTTTCATCGATACCCCACTGTCTTGATTAGTGTAACTTTATAATAAGTCTTGAAGTAAATGTCTGTCTTCCAACATGGTTTTTCCTCAATATTATACTGTCTATTCTGGATTTTCTGTCTTTCCATATAGACTTTACAGTCAGTTTGTCAATATTCACTAAATAACTTGCTGGGATTTAGATTGAGATAGCATTGAATCTGTAGATCAAGTTGGGAAGAAGTGATAGCTTAAAAATATTAGTCTTGCTATTTATGAACATGGGATATTTCTCCAGCTTTTTATATCTTTCATTTATTTCATAAGGTTTTGCACTAGATTCTGTACATATTTGTTAGATTTATACCTAAATATTTTGTTTTTCAGTAATGATTTAAATGATATGTTTCTAATTTCAAATTCCAATTGTTTATTATGGGGATATATAAATTTCCCTCTCATCACTGCTTTTGCTGCATCCCATAAATTTAATAAGTTTTATTTTTTCATTTAGTTTAAAATATTTTTAATATCTCTTGAAACATCTTCTTTGATCCATATATTATTTAGAAGTGTGTTGTTTAATCTCCAAATATTTGAGGACATTGCCCAGCTAAGTTTCTAGGTTTCTAAAAATACCTAGTTTAATTTTATTGTAATATGTGAAAATATCTTGTTTGATTTCTATTCTTTTAATTTTAAGGTGAATTTTATGAAACAGAATGTCATCCATATTGATTAATGTTACATGTGAACATGAGAAAAATGTATATTCTGTCTCTGTTGGATCAAATGGTCTATAACTATCAGACCAGGCACAGTGGCTCATGCCTGTAATCCCAACAGTTTGGGAGGCTGAGGTGGGAGGATCACTTGAGGCCAGAAGTTCAAGACCAGCCTGTCCAACATAGTGAAACACTGTCTCTACTAAAAATGCAAAAAAATTAGCTGTGTGTGCTGGTGCATGCCTGTAATCCCAGCTACTCAGGAGGCTGGGGCATGATGAGAATCACTTGAAGGTGGGAGGCAGAGGTTGCATCGAGCAGAGATTGCACCACTGCACTCCAAGCCTGAGCAAGAGAGCGAGACTGTCACACACACACACACACACACACATGCACGCACACATGCACAAGTCTATAGGTGTTGATTAGATCAAGTTGATTGATAAGAATGCTCAGTTCAACTGTATCCTTACTGATTTTCTTTGGCTATATCTGTAAATTACTGACAGAGTAGTGGTGTTGAAGTCTCCAAATATGACAGTGCATTTGTCTATTTCTCTTTGCAATTCTGTCAGCTTTTGCCTCATATATTTGGCACTGTTGTTAGATGGATACACAGTAAGGATTTTTATGTTTTCTTGGAGAATTGACACCTTTATCGGTATGTAATGTCTCTCTTTATTCCTGATTATGTTCTTGCTCTGAAGTCTGCTTTGTCTGAAATTAATATAGCTACTTCAGCTTTCTTTTGGTTAGTGTTAGCATGGTATATCTTTTTCTATCCCTTTGCTTTTAATCTAGCTACATCATTATATTTAAATTGGGCTTCTTGCAGACAATACATAATTGAGTCTTAAAAAAATCATTCTGACAGCATTCATCTTTTAATTTATGTATTTAGACCATTCAAATTTAAAGTGATTATTATAATAATATAGTTCGATTCATATCTACCCTATTTTAACTGTTTTTTATTTATTTCACTTGTTCTTGGTTTCTTTTTTAACTTTTCCTCCTCTTCTGCCTTCTCTGGTTTTAATTGAACATTTTGTATTATTCTCTAGGAAAAGAGATCTTAGATATTGATTATACTTTTAAAAATGTAGTAGTTTCGCTAGATTTTGCAGTATATATTTACATCTAATTTAAATCTACTTTCAAATAACACTATAGTGCTTTATGGGTAGTACAGGTACCTTATTTCAGAGTATTCCCAATTCCTGCCTTATGTTCCTTATAATTTTGCTATTATTCACTTCACTTATCCATATACTATAATCATCCAAAACATCACTGTTATTATTAGCTTGAAAAATAGTTACATTTATTAGATCAATTAAGGTTAAGGAAAATTAAAGGCTTTATTTTATGCTCATTTATTCCTTCTTGAAAGTTCTGTAGATTTCAGTTTTTTACCAATGTCATTTCCTTTCTGTCTGGAGAATTTCTTTTAACATTTCTTTCAAGGCAGTTCTACTGGTGGCAGATTCAGTCTTTGTCTGAGAAAGCATTTCTTCTTTGCTTTTGAAGGATAATTTCACTGTATGCAGAAATCTAGTTTTTTCCTTTCAGCACTTTAAATATTTCACCCTACCCTCTTCTTTCTTGCATAGTTTCCAATGAGATTTGTGATGTAATGCTTATCCTTGTTTCTCTATAGGTAAATTTCTCCTCTTTTCTAGCTTCTTTCATGTTTTCTGGTTGTCTTTAGCTTTCTGTGATTTGCACATAATATGCCTAGGTCAGACTTTTTTTTTTTTCCTCCCAATTTATCCTGCTTGGTGTCTTTTGAGCTTCCTGGTTGTGTGGTTTGGTGTCTGTTATTGATTGTTGGAAAATTCTCAGCCTTTATTATTTCATATATTTCTTCTGCTTCTTCTCTCCTACTCTGGTATTCTCATATAAGCATATTATACCTTTAGTAATTGTTCTACAGTTCTAGAAAATTTTGTTTATTTTTAATTTAAAATTTTTGAATTTCAGTTTGGGAAGTGTTAAAAGAAAAACTTCAGCCAAATTACATTTAAAGGCATTTAATTGAGCAATGAACAATTGGTGAATCAGGCAGCTCCCAGAATCACAGCAAATTCACAGAGACTCACTGCAGCCATGTGGTGGAAGAAGATTTATAGACAAAAAAGGAAAATGATGTACAGAAATCAGAAGTTGAGTACAGAAACAACTGGATTGGTTACAGCTTGGCGTTAGCGTTATTTGAACAGGGTTCAAATAGTTTGCTACATTTGATTGGCCAAAACTCAGTCACTGGCACAGGTGTGGGCTATGGTCGTTTTATACATCCACTTGTTATAGTTCAAGATGTACAGAAAAACCTGTAGGCTGAACTTAAATATGTAAGGTATGTAAGGAGGCAGCTTTAGGATAAACTTGATTAACATAAGTTTCTATTAACACATCTTCAATCTCATTGATTCTTTCCCCTAATTCTTCCGCAGCTGATGAAGTCTACTGATGAGCCCTGCTTACATTATCCATTTGTTCTTACATGTTGTCTACTTTTTCCATTAGTGCTCTAAACATATTAATTATAGTTTTTTAAAATTTTCTTTCTAATGATTCTAAAATCACTGTTACATTTAAAATCTGGTTCCTATGCTTGCGTTATCTTTACAGACTGTTTTTTCTTGCCTTTCTGCATTCTTTGCAATTTTTTTTTTTGAAAGTCAGGTATAATGTATTGGGTAATAGGAACTGAGGCAATTAGGTTTTAGTTTGAGTTTTTATGTTAATCAGTTACGTGTTGGGGTGTTAAATGTTTACTGTAGCTTTAGGTGCCAGATGCTTTACTTCAGCATCCTTGTTTTTGTCTCCTTTGCTGTCTTTGGGTTTCCCTATCAACTTCTTCTTAAATGGTCTGAGTTTCTCAGCTCTCTGATTGTAATCTATTGCTATTATACTGGAGCACTCTTGATGTGGTAGCGTGGTGTTAGGGAAAGGAAGTGTTCTATACTTTTATGATTAAATTTCAGATTTTTAGTTGAGTTCCTGGGCTGTAATCTTCTTTGCTTTTTTTCTCCCTTTAGGTGAGATAAGAAGGCAAGAAAGGACTAGCACTGGCTATTAGTCCCTTCCTAGGTCAGGAATGGTTCTGGAAAGGTAGTTTCCCTGGTAGGGCAGGCATTTGTTATAAAGAATATGCCGAATATATTTCAAAGTGGTTGCTTCCCGCTCCTCCTGCAGGAAACAAGAAGGGGAGCTTCTCTGATCCACACTGTCAGAAAC